TTATTTGCTGGAGAGAAGACCTAGCTGTGGATATTGCATTGGAAAAATGAAACCGTGATGGAGAATGGCACCGTACGAAATACTTTCCTCCACCATTAATATCAACTGCATATAAGTCTAATCGAAATGATCATTGCTGTAGAAGATGGGATGTCTGGTTCTGGAGAATTTAGGGGTTTATTGGCATGCTGCATCGATGACAGATTATGCCAGAAACTCGGCCGTTTTCGGTCCTAGGCTCGGGATTATAAAACAGGAGGGAGGGGGATCATGACGAAATCCTCTGTAAAATTTAGCCACCTGTCATTCATGTTATTGGCGTTATCGCACGGGTTACCAAGGGCTTCGCAAATTCTTGAGAAACTAAGGAAGACTGAGGAAAGATCGAGAACGATCAGAACCTGCTTTCATGCCATCTGGCAGCTGGGGGCGTAGCAGCACTGCGACGGCTGCCGAATTTTCACAAGAGAATGAAGATACGAATGAGGAACGGTAACCTATCCGGAACAGATGAGGCAGACCGCGCAATAATACCGTAGCAGGAGAGTCGAACTTCGTCAGGAAAGATACGAAAAATTAGAACTTGTCTTTACTCAGAGGGAAACAGCAGGAGTTACTTGATGAGGTTGCAGGGTACCGTCTGGACACGGACTTTCGTCAGCAAAATGCCATGGCTTTGAATTTATGAACCTATGCAAGCTGAAGCCATTCTACTCAGGTGTGTGCATCACGACCCGCACTCAGTACGGTGTTTGTGTTCAGGTAGAACAGGTGACCGACATAATCATGGAATGTCGGTTTGTCAGTGCGGGAGTGGCGATCATCCCACTGAAGCTTTCACTTTATGCATCCAATTTGAAGGAAGAATATGAGTCTTCCTGGAGGAGGTAGATGGTGCATTGTACGAAGTGCCGACTAATGAATCTGTTGTTATGTCGAGCGATTTCATTGCGCATGACGGATCAGACACTGACAAGTGCAACGCCGTCATTGGAAAGGTTGTGGCTTGGTGCAGACAGCAGACTTCGTGGAATGCACATTTTCTGCGAGCATCTAAGCATTCATCAGCATAACTTCATTAGGATGGCTTGTTCACAGAAGCCGATGATCGATTTGATAATCGTATCGTCTTACATACGACGCTTGGTAATGAATGTTCGGGTTAACAAAGGACAGACTTGTCAACCGATCATCACGCCGTTGGTATCTTCCGCTGAAAACCATGGATACAACGTGAAGATCTAGCGGTAGAAGAAACCTGAGAATCGAATGGGAAATCTCATCAACGGATATGACGATTCCATTTATGACGCTGATATGCAAACCCAGAAATGCTCTTTAAGAGCGGTTTATTGAAGGCTACCGCCGAATACTACGTTTTAAAAGGGGTTGGCCTGCCGCCTGGAGGTCACAAACGAAATTCCTAATGGACCTGTCGGCGAGAGGAAGGTCGCAATCATTCAAGAGGTGGCTTTCGAAGCAGAGAGTCTTCTCTGCAATGCAGTACAAAGAAGTGCATAAAGCAGTGGCGAAAAAAGTGGCCACAGCAAACACTAATTTCCGGGCAAAATCGGGGATTATCCGTAATCTTTTTCACGGAAGGTAAACAAGGTATTTTGGAGACCATTCATTTTTTCAGAGCTGAAGAGAAGTGTAATCTTGGAGCACTAAAGGACAAGTCCTGTCCCATATCAACGGTTAAAATGCTTCAGCTCTGCAAGGAGTACTTTGAGGAACTCAGTAACTCTGAGTAACCACAGCAAGACTCGCCTGAAGAGCACAAAACAACCGGCATTAGTTTTCCATTAGATGAAGTCACAGAACATGCAAAGGCTTGAAAAGGGCAAGGCTGCCGGACTCGATGAAAATTGCCCTGAAAAACTTAAGCCGTTAGTGGAACAAGGCGTGATTTGCCTTTCATACTTTACCGGCAGCGGACACCGGTGAACTGGAGAACGGGACTGTAGTATTCCTGGTCAAAATGGAGATCATAGGGAGTGCTACAATTATCGTAGTATTGCCTTTTTGAACCTCCATAAAACTCTTCCAAAAGACGTTAAAATGGAGATGCAGCCGAATAACTGACTCTGATCCGATCTTCACTTGACATGAAATTGTTGAGAAATCGTGGAAGTTCGGTCATCCCGTTTACATGTGCTTTGCTGACCTTGGACAAGCCTCCCACGGCCGGATCCCACGCAATAGTTTGTAGGCTATTGGCTGCCAAGCGTTCTAGTTGCTACGGGCCATCGCATCACTGCATTTTGCCAACGGGTGTTGCGTTGGAGTAAATGGCGTTAAATCGAAACCATTCACTGGTTGGCAGTGGTCTCCGTTTCCGCCAAGGCTGAGTTGTGTCCCCTCTTCTGTTTGTGTTGTACATGGATAGAATCGTCAGGCAAAATCAAGGCGGTCAGTCCGTCGTTGTAAGAGATGCGGAAACAAGGAGGTTGCTGTTTGCAGAAAAACTTGTTTTGTTGGCATCTTCTGAAACGGATCTACAATGCTTCCTGGAACGTACGCATGCCGGTGAATGAACCTAGAACAAAAGGACTGATGCTTTCTCATTCTTCTGTCCGTTTCTGTCCAGATGAACGGAAAAGCAAGGAGACAGATGAAGAAGGGGTTCACGTACCTCCAGGGCATGTTTACCGGTGGTGGAGTCTGGCTTTAGAGGCGCTGCTTCTCCAGGTGAGAATTAATGCGGCGATGGTTTGGCAATGCCTTGCGAATGCTTCCAGAAGAGAAGGTGAAACAGCTACTGCTCGCCCAATTTGGCGGTTGTATCGCCGGGGAGCGGGAATGACCTGAGGCAAGTGTCTCAGCATATCCAATCCAGACTAGGGTTATCTGCTGCAGAGGCTGAAACTCTGGCACAGGATCGGGAGGAACATGCGAGATATTGTATAATGTGCCTGCCTTCTCGAACCGAGAGGATAAGCAATGATCGAAACTGACTTACTGAGATCATGCGAGATGCATCTATCGCTGCTGGCATATCATTTATTTAAAGGAAGCTCAAATATCACATTGGCTGTTAGGAGCAAGGCGTGAAATCGTGCTTTAAGCATTTAAGCGCTGATGGGGCAGTGAAAATGAATATATAGAAATATACACCGTATATGTGAAGCATCCACAGATAAGTTTGTAATTCAGCAAATCCAAGCACAAAAATAAAAACTACGGGTTTTATTTACAGACCAACGTTTTATACAGTATGATTGCAATTCAGCACTCAGAGCGTTGTCTGATTGTGAACAGTACTGTGATATAAAGTCGTTTTATTTATTCTGGTGCCTTCAGCCATGGAATTACAAAGTGTCTGTTTGACAGTACAGAATACGCGAAAAC